CGGCTGCGCCAAGGCGCGGCGACAGGGCGGCGAACGCTTCGGTCGCGCGGACTGGGGCCATTTTGGGTGGGTCCTGCGAGTTATCGTGGCTCTGCATGGAGGGCGGCAGAGATGAAGGGGGACTACTAGAGTGACTATAAGTAGGAAGAGATGGAAAGGATTAAACCATTACAGTTAATTTGAGAACTAAAGCTCGTAAGATGCTCGTAAGTGAACCAGACCTTTGCTTTCTTCGGGATTCACTCAGAAGAACATGCAGCATGCAACCTAAAAATAAAGGTGTGTTAAGTTTCTGCGTGAAGAATCGAGCAAACTTCTTTCTGGGTCAAGTGTTTATGTTGCAGTGGCTTAAAAGTTCATCCAAGATTGCATTGGGTGTGTTGAATGACAGGGAAAGCAGAATGTCCGATCCCTGGACCCAGAACTTGTGAAGCACGAGGTATTTAGAACCTGGTGACATGAGCATGGGCCGTTTTCCAAGAGAACTCTAAGAAATGCGTGCGGTCACTTGGAGGCTTCCCCACGTTTTTCTGCGACCTTATCAACCTGTAACCCAGCCGAGTTCAACGACTCTTCAACTCTTAAGCCGCTTCAGTCCCAAGATCTTCAACTCTTCAATGACTTCAAGGTCCTTGGGTCCCCGTGGCCTCAGTAAGTGTCAAGCCTTTCCCAACAAACATCAACAAACCCTTCATTCTTGAGCCCTCAACAGTTTTAGTTCAATCCAGGTCATCCAAGGCCAAAACCCATCCAAAACCCATCAATCTTCACGCATTTTTCCACTCCGGAGACTCAACGACTCGACCACTCGAAGGCTCAGGTTCCTCCATACCATCGGTTCCCGCACCCACGTTCAAATCAAGTTTCAGGGGTGAAGGACCTAGCAGATCAACACAGCGAAATAAAACAGCGCATTTAACTTAACTGTACATGACACGTGTATATTGCACATGAAAGGAAGCACGCTTGAAGTTGGAAGATGTGTTGCCCGACACTCAAGGTGTGCCGCAAAATCCTGTACGGAAAGCCATCTACCAGCAATAGACTCCAGCAGGCGCTCAAAGGTCAGGGCCACTAGCAAAACGCCCAACACCAGGCACTTGAGAAGCTTTGGGCGTTTCTGAAACGAAGCAAAGGGAGCTGCAAGCGAAGCCTTTCTTACGGAACAAAAGTACCACTGGAAATGAACCGGAGAAAGGCTACGATCGGAACTTCCAATTGAACATGCCCAACTTGTTGATGACAAAAATGACATATGTGTCCCAACGCAATAAGATTTGATATTGACTTTGTTGATGCTCCTTGAAACCCACTTGTGGCCTCGTTGACACTTGAACGCCCTTCCTTCTCTAAAAGGTGAAACCATGTGAAACCATGTCAATCGCAGAAGGCCCAAGTGATACTCTCGAGGCCCTTCAGGTCCGCTATCGTCAAGCCCAGAACGAAAAACACGTAACTTGGAGGCCCTTCAGTCCTTTAGGTCCTTAAAGGTCCTTAAAGGTCCTTAAACCCTTCGTTCTTCAGTCCCAACTCACCAATCCTTTTTTAGCTTTTTGCACAGGTTGCAGTGGCACACCCACAAGTCTCAAAACCTGTCAAACTTGAGTTCCAAAGGGTGTTCGATCCTTTTGCCCCGTATTTCCCCATGCGTTTTATTGATTCGGAGTCCAATTTGCACCTGCTTTGCATGGCAAGTCTTTTTCCCCGCCCGCGATTTGGAACGTCTCTTCCATCCCAGGGGCTCTTTGAACCGAAAGTGGCTTCGCAAGAGATCGAAAACATCTGCGATGAGGGTTTACATGCTTTAACAACCTTCACCCCTCTAATTTTGTATTCTAAGACGGCTAAGTGCAGCGCGGAAACAAAAAGACTGATTGGTGGAAGGCTTGCTTTGTGTAGATGTTTGCGGGCTGTTGCCACAACACTCAACGCCACAAGTGAGACACCGCTCTCCATGTCCTTTTTGTTTGTTGAACCTGGTGACATTTCTACACACCCTTATCCAAAACACAACAGAGCTGTAGAAACACTCGCAAAGCGCCCTTATCCCCGCTTCTTCCAAGGCCACGATCTTTGAAATCCAAAGTGAAATCCAACCTCGAGCAGGAATTTAATTCAAAAAAGAGACGCCCGCCAAAAGGACCCGGCAAGCCCCGGAGTCTTTTGGCGGGTGACTCTTTTTATCAGACACCGCTGGCGAAGTTAAAGTCAGACACCTACACGGAGAGACGATTTGGTGCGCTGTAACCTGGTCACATTTCTAAACGCCTTTCATTCTAAGTCTAAAGACCATTTAAAGACCACCTCCTCCAACCTCAAGCCGCCGTTTCAACTCGAAAAACTTGAGTTCCAAAGAACTCTAACTACTATCCGAAAGCTCCTCTCAGCCTCTCAACCGCCTGGAACGTTTCTCTTTCCGTTTGAGCCTTGCACTACCTAGACTGCAGCAAGCGCCCAAAGGTCGGAGGCACTAGCCACGAATCGACGTAAAGCGCCGACACCAGGCACAAGGCCTTTTGAACCCATTTGCAGTGTAAATCATGCGATTCTTTCCAACTTTGCCACCTGCAACGGCAGAAAGTTTGTGTTGTCTCGATTTTTTTGCGCTGTACTGTTGAAGCATGTCGAGCCAGCCCATGTGAAAAAATCCTTCTTTCTTCCAACATTTCAACCTTAAGTGCTTGGTGGCTCGACCTTTGTGCCCTGGAAGAGTCTGGGTTTCGATCCCAGAAACCCTTCGAAACATAAGTAGCTTGTAAATTGACAGTTCTTGTCATTAATTTCCCTGCGTTGCCAAAGGAACTCCAAAGCGCCAGCAGAACAAGTCACAAGGGCCACAACTGCTTTTTGTTATGAACTGGCTTGCAGCTCGTCGGTTGCACAAGTGTGGGAGCCTGAAAGTATGGTGTATAATGGCATATACTTATGCAGAGTATGAGTCCTGGACCCCTGAAACCTCAACATGCTCAAGCTCCTACTTTGAGACCCTTCATTCAACTTCATTAGTTGCGATTTGTACCAGCATATACACTTGTGCCTGGCGCCAGGGCAAAGCTTATGGATGCCCCTGCCGAAAAGGTTCTTAGCCCCTTGAAGTGTTGACTGTCCTGGAGCCCGAAGAGCTTGTAACCTGAAGTTCAATCATTTGAACGAAAGATTAATGAAGGGTATATTGTTGCTTGTCTGAGCGTTGGTTTGTTTGGTGTCTAGACTGCAAGACACCATGAAAACCACGAACAAGCTTCAGCCTGCGGGTACCAACTGATATTCTGCATGCATCTTCCATTGTTGCTGGGTGCTCAAGCATTTGTGCAGTGTATGCTTGGGCCTTGGTAGCTACCGTGTAAAGTCAAGTTGCTCGCGGCTACCTCCAGCCATGGGTCGGTGGTTCATGCTTTGCTAACTGCTACCTGTCTCATGCTGATCAATTTTGGTATGTCCGCCTTGCAGCTTTCTTTGCCAGACCTTGCTTTGAGAGTGATGGCTGCTGTGGAGCTCAACTCATCTGAGTTGAGGATCGGTTTCCGCCACTGCTTCAGGCATGCACTTTCCTGTCCTGGGTCACTTTGAGATGGCTGCTGGGAATTCAAGTGTTTGTGCTGCTTGTACGGTGTGAGCTACCGCCCGTTTTCGGGCTGGATGTGCAAACTCACACTTTTTGACAGCGCGATCACTCCTTTTCGGAATTCACATGTACAGGAGGACAGCCAACACACGCCGCAGTTCTCCGGGCATTTGGATGTTGTGGGCTGCGGACGGGTTTGTGATGCGAACCTGCTTTCTGACAGCAGAGACTGCTACGGGCAGCCATCACATGACGCGCTGGCTTCTGCCAGCTGGCGCGTGCCTAAATTAGCGGCCGCCTCCGCCGAGCGGCTGCTGCCAGTGCTGGAGGGTGGGGATTTTGTTTGTACACACTGGGGCAGTGTGGCAGCAGCTTTGATGT